ATTGTACACTGTACAGGGTATAAATAATAGGACACGTATAAGGAATACAATATATAAGGATTGTATTGGATATACATTACCTAGATTTGGCTTAATAATTCCCCTAGTATATATATATATACATTGTACACTGTACAGGGTATACATAATATAGGACACGTATAAGGAATACAATATATAAGGATTGTATTGGATATACATTACCTAGATTTGGCTCAATAATTCCCCTAGTATATACAGATAATTAATAATTATTTTTTACTATTGGCAATTCCTTCTCCTCTCACCATTTCTACACAAACAAGAAAGTACATACCTTTTCTCTTGCTGGTTAAGTACATATAACACCATAGTTTCAGTTTTAGTTTCAGTAAATATTTCCATTTACTGCTATAGCGCCGATATAAGGATTTATCTCTAATTGGATAACGAGCTAGATAGAAAGATAGACGTTACCGCCATGCAATTTCTATTGGTTCAGAATAGACAACAAACACATGGCTGAACTCTTGATTGGATCAAGCGCTAATGGATTTGGCATACTAGAGTGATAATTACACCCCATATCTACGATAAATATTTGAGAACACAAAAGGTTGGAAACTGTATCTATTTAATAAGCAAAAGTTTGTATTAGGAAAGCGCTGAGCCACAGAATTTGAACTGGATACACAGCGTATACTGTTGCATTGAAGAATTAAAGTTTAAGTTCGGGAATAATAAAGAAATGTTAAAATCAACTAACAAAGAGCGGTTATGAACAGATTGAAAAATACATGAATTTCGCCCTTTAAAGGGACTGTAAAGGTAAAATGAAAGGAAGTACCGGCTAAAGTCTCGACATTTTAGGCGTTGATAGTGATCAGTAATAGTTCTATCTGGTGTCCCACAGTCGCGTACACAGGGGAGGGGGCAGTAGTCCTCTTGCCCCCCCTTGGGCATCCAGGGGGGGACCTATCCCTCCCTGGGATTTATGGGCAAAAGAGAGCGGAAGACTAATAATAGTCTTCAGGAGACTACTCAAGACTTCAAAGAGTAATTCAGAACTATACAGAGGGATACGTTATAATATATAGTCCTTGAGTTGGGACTACAGGGGACAACAAAGGGGATTTGTCTCAGGAGACTACTCAGGACATCAAAGAGTATTATACAGAGGGATACATTATAATTTATAGTCCTTGAATCAAAACTAAACAGGACTACAAAGGGGAGTGGTCTCAGGAGACTATAATACTCATGACTTCAGAGAGTAATACAGAACTGTACAAAGGGATACATTATAACATATAGTCCTTGAATTAAGACTATATAGGTGGCATGCAGTAGACTTAATATAGAATAGCAGCATTTTTAAGACCAGGTGGGGGCAAAAATCGCCCAGGGGGGCAATATTTTATTTTTCGCGCTTCGCGCTAAAACTTGCCCCCCATGGCTAAAATTCTGTGTACGTGTCTGTGTGGATAGAACTAATATTGGTCGCGATCAACTCCTAACATTGTTAGGCTTTAACCTTTAACTCTTTTCATTTTTCTTGGACAGTCCCTTAAATAATTTCTAGTTTTCTAGATTGAAGAATGCAAGATCTAGAAGAATGCAAGATCTAGAAGAATAAAGATGTTCAATATGCAGTTAATCAAGAATTAGTGTTCTCAAGGGTCAACTTTATACAGAGCTTAATTACATCCAGCCAGAGCACAGTTACCTACCCATTTTTCAGATCATGCATCAATCTCTGAGACTGGGCCAATTTGCACGTGTCACCAGGCCATTGTTCCTAGCCTTAGAGTCAAGTTCGGAAAAATATTAATTTACTTAAAAAAAAATTAGTTCAGAAAGAGTAATCGCTTTTAAATAGAGATAGGCAACTATGGTCTCTAGATTTTCACTGGAGGCCCTCACGAAGGTTTATATCGAGAAAACTTAGATTTTCTCCGAGGCCCCACTATCTCGTTGGAGACCCCCTAGAAGATTTCCAGGGAACATATGGGTGTCTCCGAATGAAAAAGGTGGGAGTCAGATAAACACCTTGGGTCCCCAATGAAATACAGGGGTCTCTAGTGAAAACCTGGCGGTCTCCGGGAGGGTTTCCGAAGATCTAGAAACATCTCGTTTTTTTCATTGTGGAAATTCGCCAACAGAAAAATCTGCAAATTTTTAATTGTTATCTATTTAATATGTACAAAATGTTTACAGAAATATCAGCAACAACAAGCTGATATTAATTATTATCAGAAAGACGGACGCAATATGCGATTATGCTCTGTAAACCTTGTAAGTTGTAACACATATTTTTGGAACCTCCCATGTCTTTAAGTTCAACAACGAACTAACCTTTTTTTTAAATCATTGATATATAAATTCAATAATGTATAATGTTAGCGTTCATTTATGATGTGTACGTTACTTACTCGTTTCCGTCCAGGTATGTGTTGTGTTTTGTCAGTGCAGTGTATTTGTTCCACCAATTGTGATATTAGGGTGTTCTATTTATTATACTGAGTGTTAGCTTACTGTTTTCCATTATAATAATATGACGTGGAATATATTAGGAGTAAAGTCAATATCGACAGAAATATATTTTTTCTTATAAAAAATCCAGAGGATAGTGCCATGGTGGGGAGGGGGGATATTTTTGTCCTGATAACAAAAGCTCTAATTAAATAAAAAAAAAACAGCTTAAAATCGAAGTACATGGCCCTACATAATATTTGGTTTTTCGGTTCTACAAGCGTTTTGTAGTTAATAATCAGACAAAGGAACAAGGAGCACTTCTCAAGTATTTTGGATCAAACACCCTCATTTTTGACAATATCACCTCGTTAAAGGGACTGTAAAGGAAAAATGAAAGGAGGTATAGGCTTACACCTGAGAATCTCAGGCGTTGAAAGATACAGATAAGACATCTATCTGATGTTCCTGTCTCGAGAAATTGATGTAAAACTGTGTAAAATTTATACGAAAATTCATATATCTGCAATTTTGTATAAAAGTTGTAGTATTGTACAGATCCTATTCCATAAATACGAAACCAATCTGGTAACGACGATGTCCCACAGAAACCTGAGAATCTCAGGTTTGCTCCTGGTATAATTATTTAATTTTTATTTTGCATTTTTAATAGATATACAAGTCCGTATTGTCTGTATTACGTCACCAGAATTTCAGCCAATGGCAGTGCAGTATACAGCACTCTCATTGTGATGTAATGTAATACAGACTTATAAATAATATTATCAATTATATCTATTAAAAATGCAAAATAAAAAAATAAAATTATGATGAGAGGAAACCTGAGATTCTCAGGTTTCTGTGGGATTTAATTGTTTTCAGATTGTATGCGCATTTGCTGAATATGATCTGTTTAAACCTACTACTTTTAAACAAAATTTCATATATATAGATTTTCGTATAATTTTGACACAGTTTTATATTCTCAGGTTTTTTCATATACCCCCTTTCATTTTTCCTTTAGAGTCCCTTTAAACTATACTAAACTTCAGAAAACGTAATTTAAAGAATTGTTGCAAGGGTTGTAACTTCGTAAGACTTACAGAGACAATCTTGTGTTGGCTCCCTGGGCCTGCATTGAACTGTCGGACCAAGTTATATTTATTTCGTCTCAAATTTTACCGATATATAATATATATGAATTAAAGGGAATCCTTAATGATAATATGTTGTGAAGTAATTTTATAATGCTTTTCCTAACTAAGCGGATGAATATCCCATGATAAGGACAGACTAAGGAAAAGAACATATTTACCTAACAACAATATTATATATGATAGGAATTTTTCTTTAGTATTTATTACGAAACGATAGCTTTTCAACAGTTTAAATGGGTCTTATCATTTGTGAAGAATATATACCCTGAAATCTAGCATAGTGAATGTACAGGTTGATATAAATTAATATGCAGATAAACAAAAAGAAGAGAAATTATTAATCTCGAAATCCAAAATACAAGGGTTTCCAGCTCAAGATGGTCTAACTGCCGTTTAGTGTTTTCATATCTAATCGAAATAGCTTTATATCATATTTGAAAAGCGTAAGTAAAATATGTCCCCCTTTATAAAGTAAGGATTATCGGGTTTTTATCGTTAATAACTTCCAAAATTTCAAATTGTTTTTCGTTAAATTTTGCTTTTATTTAACTTATCCAACGATTATGACAACAGTTACTTTTTGCATTGTTTTGAGTCAGTTTGGACAGTGTCAAAGTTTGATATATATATGTGTAAGAAAAAGAACTGTTCAGAATAAACATATTTATGATATATATATGTGTAAGAAAAAGAACTGTTCAGAATAAACATATATATGAAGAACATTTATTCAAAATAATCAAACTTTTTTAAAGACAATATAGGCCTCAAAATGACCCCAAAACAACCCAATTAAATGCACATTACTAACCCCATAGCTATAATTTAAAAATTTTATTATTCAATGAATTTACACTGTTCAAATCCCATCTACATTTTTAAAATAATGCCATGAAATTAAAAAATAGTTAAAATAAACAGTTGATAAAATAGTTATGAAAAATGCCGGTGATTCCGCTGTTTTTATGTTCTTACTGTTTAAGTTTGTAAAATTATACACATCATATATATTGGTCTGGTAATTTCCCCAATTTCTAATTTCTATTGATAGATCCTGAATACTGAGCTCTGTAGTAAGAAGAGCTGCTCTTGTAAACAATATACTTCAGTTTATTTATTTTTATATTCGAGGTATATTATCCAATATCTATTCTGCATAAACAAGATAAAACTGTCTGAATATACATTATGAAAAATTAAAAATTACATGTTTTATATGTATCACTTTTAATCACTTTCTTTCAGCTTTTTATCACTTTTATGTTTCCAACTTTTGAATCGGACGAAAATGCCAAATTTTGACTTCTCAACAAAATTGTTCAATCTGTAAATCTGGTTGGATAGGTCGTGATTCATTAATAGCTTAGATAACTTCAATGACAGCTATTATCTTTATGATATCTTATTAGAATATTTAATGTTGGCGTCTCCATACAATTCTAAATTTATAGAATGATGCCTCTGACGTCTATATTTTCAAAAACCAAAGAAGCCAAGGGTTTCTAAAAAATTATGTCATTGAAACTTGTTCAGAATGATGTCCTTGACGTAGTTGGCCACTTATGGGGAAGAAGAGTCTTGATGACGTCTTTGCTGTCAATAAACACTATTGAAGAAGAAGAGAGTCTAGATTCTTCTTAAGAATGATGTCTTTGACGTCTCTGAAGACCAATTTAACATTGTTAGTGTCGACAGCAACTGTAAAGTGATGGTACAATGGCTTCTCTGACATCCTAAAGAATACAAGCAAGATTAAGAAAAGATTACTAGAAAAATATAGAGAAAAAAATGCTTTCTAGAAACAAAATAAAAAAATGCGGTAGTAAATTATCCATTTTCAAGTAGAAAACAAGGATATCATTCTCACATAAATGATTGGGAAAATGGAATATAGATTTATAAATGAAGGGTCACTTGAAGATTGTCTTTATAAAGTTTGACCTCCTAGCTGAGATGAAGTAGTACACTAGAAACTTCTTCACATCTTCTAGATTATCAGGAATACCCCGGAACCCAGGGCTGTAAACCTCTACAGCTTTCAGGTCCCTGAATTAATCAATCAATCAATAAGTTTATAAATATTCAACAAATTGGTCAATTAATGAATTTATAAATATTCAACAAATCTGTTTATAAATAAATTTATGAATATTCAATAAATCATTCAATCAATAAATTTATAAATATTTAACGAATCAGTCAATCAGTGAATTTATGAATATTCAAAAAATCGTTCAATCAATACATTTATAAATATTTAAGAAATCAGTCAATCAATGAGTTTTTAACAAATCAGACAATCAATAAATTTATAAATATTCAATACATAAGTCAATCAATGAATTTATAAATATTCAACAAATCTGTCAATCAATGATTTTATTAATTTTCAATAAATCAGTCAATCAATGATTTATAAATATTCAATAAATCAGTCAATCAATAAATTTATAAATATTTAATAAAGTCAATCAATAAATTTATAAATAATCAATAAATCAGTCAATCAATGATTTATAAATATTCAATAAATTAGCCAATCAATGATTTATGAATAATCAATAAATCAGTCAATCAATGATTTATAAATATTCAATAAATCAGTCAATCAATGATTTATAAATATTCAATAAATCAGTCAATCAATGAATTAATAAATATTCAACAAATCAGTCAATTAATGATTTAATAAATCAGTCAATCAATGAATTAATAAATATTCAACAAATCAGTCAATTAATGATTTATAAATATTCAATAAATCAGTCAATCAATGAATTAATAAATATTCAACAAATCAGTCAATTAATGATTTACAAATATTCAATAAATCAGTCAATCAATGAATTTATAAAAAATAAACAAATCAGGTTATCAATTGAATTTATAAGTATTTAATAAATCAGTCAATCGATGAATTAATAAATATTCAACAAATCAGTCAATCAATGAATTTATTAATATTTAATAAATCCGTCAATCAATGAGTTGATCAATTATCAATAAATAGACTAACCAAACTAATAAATTTATTCATCAACCAACTAATTAATTAACAAACCAACTTATAAAGCCATCAATAAAAAATCAAATAACCAATTAATTGAAAAAAACCACTGAATAGATGATTAATCGTTCAAATAACTGATTAACTAATCAAACAAACAACAAACCAACTAACTATATAAATATTAAAACAACTAATAGCTTGATCGATCAAACAACCAATAGTTCAATAAACCAACTACAAACTATTAAATAAGCATACTTAAACTCTGGAATATGTCTAGATATATTCGACTGCGAAATCTTCTGTTTTAAAAGATCTAGTTTGTTGAGGAAAAGGATGACTAGTAAAAACAGATTTTTAAAAACACATTTTTGAAAAATTATCGCTTTAAATGGACAAAGAGATATCTTACAGTAAGACCCAAAAAATATTGGAATAGGAAGACGACTGTTAAACTAAAGTTATAATATCAGTTAGTTCAATGAGCATGAAAACATAAATTGTGATAACATAGAACCATTTTCTTAAGTTGATTGTCAAGATACGGTTGCTACGACATTAAATGCACAAAATATAAATTTTATGTCGTCTTTCTGTGCAACACTTTTATGGGTCTTGCTGCACAATAGATCAATAAAATTATTCTAGATCAGAAAAAAAGTTTTTTAATCTGTTTTCCTGAAACATTATTGAATATTCTATTGTTTACAATAGTATCAAATATATTTCTAGACTCCATTAAACGGTTGGTCCGACGATCTTCAAGAATAACCTAAAAAAAAAATAGAAAATTATTTTTCTAGCCATATTCAGTTCTTGGCTTATTAGCTTTTTGATGATATTATTTTACATTTATATATTACAAATTTTGTGAACTTTTCAGTTTACAAAAATTCAAAAATTCAACATTTTTTGGAACGCTGACCGGTCCAAGGGGTCATGCAAGGCCAACAAAAAAATGTGGACCCTTGACAAATTAACACTTAGTAAAAAAAAACTTTTATATCAAGAATATCAGCTTTTTCTTTTTTCAAGACTTTGATAACTTTAATATTGTTTATCGAGTGGATAATTCAGTTTTCTTACAAATTTTAATTTAACTTTAATTTTTACATCCAACCTTTTAGGTTTTAAAGTACAGACAATTTTACATACAAGAAGACATAGCAAGAGCCCATGAAATGTCGTCTTGAAATTTGTTTAAAGCTGTAATGCTTTATCGTTGGTCTGCACAAAAAGAAAGCTGCTGAGATGTTAGAAGCTTCAAAGGGTTGAATACGATTTGTGAAAATATATCCAAATGTCATTAAAGAGTAGCAAGTTTTTCGATAATTCTTAAGAAACTGCTTTTTTTAATTTTTGATTAAATGAATATTAATAACCCTGAAATATGAAAGACAGCAATTGATACATGAAACATAGTTTTCCGCGGCATTTGATCTTAAATATGTTCAATACGACATCATAAAAAACTCTTGCTATGTATTCAATATTCATATATCTGGGATTCACTGTTTATAATACTTTATGTAGTGGTCAGCATCTATATCAATAGTGTCGGTTTCTGAAATTGTAATTTATTACAATTTCAAAACCTGAAGTACTAGCTGATGAGCCCGACGTTGCCCGTGAAATTTTAAAAATAAATTTTTTAAAATTTCGAATTTTAACAATAAATAGAGGTTTGAAGAAATTTATTTTGGATTTTTTTTCAACTTATGCTACCCCCGCTGTATTTTTTTTTACCCTAATTGGTCTAGCCGTGCTGTATTTAAATATATGTCAGGGCCTCTGTATTATATCACCATTCCGGTAAACGATTTTTATTGATTTATATGTTGACCACTGTATTTTTGATTAATTGACTTTTCCACCTGGTCGAATTCTGAACTAGAAGCCAGGAACAGAATGGAGGTAACTGATCAATTTATCAATTAGATTATATTTCATAATTTACTATAAATATTAAGAATCAACATTTATGAAGATCGAATGATAAATATACTCTTAATCGATTGATAAATCATAAATCGATTGATGAATCATAAATCGATTGATGCATCATAAATCGATTAATGCATCATAAATCAATTGATGCTAAAAAAAATCGATTCATTAATCATTATGTCGATTGATGACTCGTAAATGGATAGATGCATAATAAATCGATTGAAAATATATATCCTTTAAATGATGTACCTTGAATTGATCAATTTAATACTAATTGATTAAATTCCTGAATCAAAACATTGCATCCATTTTTGCCGTTGCGTTCTTTGTCCTCCGACATCGACAAAAAGGAATGGTACACTAAACAAAATAAATAAAGGATTGAAAAAAAAACGGTAGGGGGGGGGGCTAAGGTATATAACCCTTTTCTCTACTACTTGTTGCCCACTCAATTTACCTAGGTTTAACAATAACCTCCTCCCCCCTTTTCAAAGCATCTTCGTTGCGTCTTCGATATGATGAAAAATTAAAGGGAGTGACCGGCAATGTATGGCAGTTGAACTGAGAATGTAGTATTGTGAAGACATTTTCTAGGATTATTTTAAGACATATAAAACGTTTTAATGATGTATAATTTGAGTTTGAGCGCAAAGTCGACGTTTAAAATCATTCATTTGGGTGGTTATTTTAAGAATCGATTTTTAAAAGTTATTAAATAACGACGATAAAAAATGTAACAAAAATTCTACAGTAAATTATTAAGTTGTTTAGGAACAGGTTGAGAAAATAAAAATTAACTCTTATCATTGAAAATAAGGAATCTTTCTTATTTATCAATTTCGGTATATCTCATTGTTCACAAACATTTTCTGGATTTTTTTATTGAACAGACAACATTTGAAGAATTTGTAGAAATCTGCGAACAAATTCGCAAAGAATAAGAAATCCATATAATGATGAAAAAGAAATGGATGATTTGAACGTCGACTTTGCGCTCAAACGCGGCAATTATTCATCATTAAAACGTTTTATAAGTCTCAAATATATAAAAAAAATTTCGACAATACTACATGCTCAGTTCATCTACATCATTGTCCAGTCCCTCCCTTTAAAAGATTAGGTTAAAAATGGAAAGCAAGATTTAGATAACTTACTATTTCTGAATAGCATTGACATGGTTTCAATTAAGGCTAAACAGCAAACTGCTAATCTTGAAAAATAATGTTCTTACTTGTCTATTGAAATTGTGAATTCTACAACTCCTTTGGTCGTCTTCCTAGCGAAAAGAATATCCTAAAAAAGATTAAATTAAAGACGACATTTACAATTTTTTTCTCAAAAATATACAATTGCATAAGAACTATTTTACAAACAGTTAGAAGAAATAAAAACGCAATGAAATTGCTTATTTATTTAAACAGGCCTTAAAGCATGTAAAAAACAATAAGATTTAATTTGTAATATTTTGACACCCTGTCTGAAATGTAAAAAGAAAATTGGACATTCGGTTAATCAAATTGAGATTGAAAAATTCTTTCAAAGATTAAGAATTCTTTAAATTCAAAGGGTTTCTCATTGATTATTTCAATTCCCGCTGTTTAGGTGCAACTCCATATTTCAGACCTACAAAAGGTATGACAATAGGTTTTAATGGTTATTGCAAGCATAAAATGTTTAGAGGTCGGAAGTTATGTGTTCAGTGTTAATCTTGAACGCTTGATCTTAATATCTAAGTTGGGCACTTTTAAATTTGAGGATAATGCTTGATTTAAGTTATTCCTGCTGAGTATAACCACCACGGAATATCGAAGAGGAATTAAACTAATCCGCATGTCTCCATAAGATGAAGATAAATGCTTGATCTCAAGAGTCACCCCACAAAGTTCTAAATTCATAAATTAATGTAGGAAGCTAGGGATCAAGCATTGATCTGCGTATTACGCAGATCTACGGATTTATTTAATTCCTTGATATATCACGCGTGAGGGTTACATACTGAGATTATCAAATATTAATCCTCCAAATCTAAAAGTAAAAACAAGATCCACACGAAATTTCACGAAAGTTTTTAAGAGACATTCTTAGGATTATAACAATTACAAATCACAAAACCTCTATTGATTTTCACATGGAAGACGACTTTCTCATGAAAGACGTCTTTTCATGGAAGACGACATAAAATACACTTTTAAATATCAATGATAGTACCTGCAGGGTTGGCACGTATTCTGGTTTAGATATTCTCACCAGATTTTCCAGAAAATATGAAACACTATCTAAATAAAAAGAAAGGCCTAATTTTCTAATCCATCTTTGCAAGATGGTGTAACCCTAATATGACATTAGGTTCCAAAGAAATAACGATAAGACAATTTGAGTTTTAGAAAAGGTATCAGTTTCTTCAGGAGCAGGCTTCTTTCAGACAATGAATATGTTAAATTTTTCGAATCTATATCAATTTTAATATAAGTCTACTGTCTTTCTTTAAAAGATTCAAATCAAAAGTTTCCGTGATCACCATCGAATTAATGCTAATTGGATTAAAGCCATCCATAAAAGTTTCTACCTGTAATCTGGTATTCGTTTCTTCTATTGTAAGCTCTCTTTATACCCTCATCCGACCATAAAGAGGAAATCATACTCTACAACAAAATAAATTTTTCAAACTATTTAAATTTTTTTCATCAATTTGAGATAGATATGGGAAATTTTGAATCGGTGGATTGAACTTCTTTCAAAGCTAGGGTCTAGCTCAAAAATTTTGATACGACCAAAAAGAGATTGGGATTATTATAGCCAGTTAAATTAATAAGGTTCATTTGAAAGTTTTCATCATAAAAACATTTAATCATTTTAATTATTATAGACTCTGTTTTTTCTAATTCTTATATCTTTGCAACCCAATGTAGTAGACCTTTGATATTTCAGACTATGAACTCTGATCAAATAAGAATGTGATAAGATTCGATAATCTAGTTGTGAAATATGAAAGGCGTACATTAGCAGGTTGCAAAGATTTAGGAATTTAGGAATTTAGAGTTTGTGACAAAAATTAGGTCCTTTGTTTGTTAATCATTTCTTTCATGTAAATCCAATGAAATATTCTTCGAATAATCAACAAATTATTAACATTTACAATTGTGCTTGAAAATCCTAATAAAATAATAAAAATGGATTAACATTTTTTTTAGATTTAAAATAAGATACAAATTAACTGAACCAAAAAGATCTAAAAAATTATACGTCTTTCCAAGATTAAAAAACATTTTATTTTTGTCTGGAGGTTACCTCAAATTCTGGAAAAGTTTTGTTGTTCAACTCTGCAAAGTTGTCAAATAGAAGTAGCTGGCTTCCCAACGCATGATTCTCCTAAAATATAAAAAAAAACCGTAATTTTAAATCCTTTAATTTTTAATTTGCATAGAATTTCCCTAAGGCATAATTACACGAAAGAATTAAAAAACAAATGAATGAAACTAGACTTTTTTCAGAAAAAATCTTTACTTATTTCTCGATCATTTAAAAATACGTATCCGAACTTATACGAAATGTTTAAAAAGATAAATACTTTATTAAAATAAAAATATCTCCATTTTAAATTCAAATGTTATTTTCCATCCAGTCAATGCAACCCTCTTATTTTTTACAAATAATGTATTTTTTGGCCACTTGTTACAAAGTTGCAGTGATAACCAGAAAACTGTAGAATAAAAAGACGACATTAAAGTAATACTGAATTGCATTTGATGTTGTTACAAAGCAAATAGCTTTACTATAAGTAAGTTATTAACTAAAGTATTAAGTGAAATGAGTCTGTTTACACTGCACAATTGCTGTGGCTCATGTTAATTGGAATACTTTAAGTTATAACTTGAGTCTAAAAGTAGACTTCCTATTCCAAAGCTTTTTGGTTTTCACTGTACCTCCGTTTAAAAATATCCAAACGTCGGATTACAGAATAATGTATAAATAGATAATTAACATTAAGTATATTTAGAAATAGATTAGTTTAAAGGGAGAGCATTGTTATAATTTTAAAATTAAAAAATGCAAAAAAAAGGCCCGCCGAATTTACAACAGTGCAATTTTAACATTAATATTATTATAAATGTGGAATATTAAGTCTCTTCTAGATTACAAAATGTTTAATTCTGTTTCTTGCTCCAAGAAATACCAAGCCAATTTAGTAAAACACAACAAATGTAAATAAACAGTTTTTAAAAGCAAAAATATGGATATGTCAATAATTCTTAATCAGGAAAGCTTGTAAGGATACTCTATTGAATCTGACAAGCCATGCTCTATCTAGGTATTTAAAAATAACTCGAAAAAGATTTGTTCAACTAGCTAACAGAGAGAGATAAGAAAAGCAAATTAAAAACTGACTGCAGAACAATTACACATTCATTACATAAGCATTTAGCTAACTTCAAAGAAAAAGTAATAAATATATCCTAATATTGAGGGTTGATTAAATATGTTTAATTTAGAAAGTACAAGATATTTTATTTCTTGTATTTATAACAAGTTTCTATAAATGGTGAAATTTAAGAAAAACTTTCAAAATCTCTAATGAAAATTCATCACAAGATATTTGCTTAAAAAATATCTTTACTTTCTAATGCGTACATAATTTTATGTCAATTTTCTATTACTACAGTGAGAACAAGAAAACTCTGGAATAGGAAGTCGACTTTTAAACTCAAGTTATGCCTTTAAATAGTTCAATGGACATTAGGCAGAGGCGTATTCGGGGGGGGGGGGCTATGAGGGTTAAGCCCCCCCCCACACTGAAGGTTTTCAGGCCCCAACGGGTGCTGAGCCTCCCCCTGGAAAGAAAAAATGTCAGCCCCCCTTGGAAAATTTCTGACTACGCCCCTGACATTAGGCACATCAATATTTCAGTGTTAACTGACCCATTTTACTTAAAAATTGATTTAATACCTTTATAGTAAAGCTTTTTGATTTGAAAAAGCATCAAATGCACTTGAGTATTGCTTTAATGTTCCTATGCTACAGTTTTCTGGTTACCACTGTATTGAAAATTTTATCCGTAAATATTTGAGATTAAAGAAACGAAGGAAATTTAGATATATGGCAGACCCATTTTTTCTTATTTTATATAAAATATATATATATATAATATATATATATACATATATATATTTTTATATATATATTTACCGGATTGGAGAGAGGTATTCCTAACTTCCTTTGTGCATCGACTAGTACTTTAGTACCCTGAAGTAAATTGTATATATATAAAGTAGTAATCTCTATTTTTCTGTTTGTTTATTTGGATGTCTGATCATAACTCATGAACCCCTTGAGCTATTAGCCTAAAATTTTAGATTGGGTAACTCTTTAAAATCAATGAATGTTATTAGTTTGGATCTTAAATTTAGTTTCTGGCAAAGCTGGGTTCTCAAACTAATACATTTTTACAAAAAGTCCATATTTATTATGTTTAGTCTTTTTGCTAGTTCGTTTGTTGAGTCCAATAAATGTCAGAACAGTTGAACCGATTAGGTCCAATCAATATATATATTTGTAGGACCAAATATGACCCCAAAAGTAAACCAGAGGTTCTGGTCAAAAATCAGTGAGCTTAATTTTAAACCCAACATTCACCCATTAAATGTCGATTTTTTGATTTTGCGACTTAAAGCTATGTTAAAATTTTAAAATTTATAACTTTTCAAATAAACTTCTCTTTCGCAGTAAAGCAGGGGTGTATATTTTTCAGAACTACACAATGATTTGGGGTGACAAATTCTTTTTGATACTTTTTACCCAAAAATTCGTTGATTTTCCCCTAAAAATCATTTATTTTACTCAATTTAGTGAATAAAAACCTAAAAAAAGAAAGCATATATAATTTGTGGGAGGGAAACATGTTTTCAAGAGGGGAAGAAAAATGATTTTTTCGAAAAAAATATACCGCGGAAATTCAGTTAAAAATTTTAGTCATAAACGAGAAAAACTTAATTAATAAACCATACCTTAATAATATTTTGATAGATAATCTTCCTAAACTCAATCTGGGCAGTCACGTCATAGTTAACATTATGTATTATTCTCATCTGTTTTAAAAACGTACTTTTCCCAGACTCCCCAGCTCCCAACAGCAGAAGTTTAACCTGAAAACATACGTGAGCTCAGCAGTGTAGTTGATCATCTATATACATACACAACTTGATTGGAAACCCAGCTTTGGCTAAAGCTTTCCATTTTTAATAGTCAACCAGCTACACTTAGAATTTTTACTACAGGCTAACAACTTTTCTGTGATTATGCTAAGTTCCTCACTCAAACTTTGAGGCAAATCGGTCCAGTGGCCATACTCAGACAATAAACATTCATACAAACAGAGATTATTATTTTTGTATAAATAGTATTCTGTTTGTTTGATAGCCGATCATAACTCTGAAACACCTTGACCGATTTGTCTCAAACGCGCTATGCAAAGCTGTTGTCGCAAGCTAGTTCTAAAAGTAAAGATAATCTTCACTAACGTTCAAATAAAAAAGAGCTTATTGTTTATGTTCGAATAATAGTTAAAATTCTATTTAACAGGTCTGTTCTTTATTTTGATTGAAAAAAGAACTGATTTTTCTTGTTTAAAGGGCCTATACACAAATTTTATTTTTAAAATTTTTAAATTTTTAAAGATTTTATTCTTCGATTTACATTGGTACCTTGAAATTTGGTAAAGGTTGAATGAGATGTTCTCGATTTGTGGATTTATGAAATAAAATTGTCGGAATTCAACTTGTTTAAAGACACAAAAAAACAATATTCTTCTCATTGCTACGTAAATAAAGATTTAAAGGATATTGTTGAGAATCAGAATTGCCACTTTTGTACATAGAAGTTTCACTTAAAGTCCAATTAAGTCCCTTGAGTAAATACAGAAGGTTTTTATAATCTTACCTGTTTTCTTTTTAATCTTTCCTCCTTCCTGATTTCTCTGAAAACACAACAAAAATAGTTTTGGACCTTACATTTTTAATATCAAACTCAAAGAATTACTTATAACAGTTAAAATGATAAATGTTTACAGGACAACTTTTTTCAAAAGGATAATTTTTCTGACACTTTTCAAGGTTTTCGTGATCACAGAATTTAGAGGTTTAAAAAAAAATTAATGAAAACTTAGGAAATTGGATAACAATTTGATTTGTAAAATTAATTCCCATGATACGTTTTGTATAAATTCTCATTGTAATGTCATTCTTTCAGTTTAAAATTAAAAAAAATCTACTCAATTATTCCTCAAATAAAGGTTTATGGGGTAGATGAGTATATAACCTTGAAAGGTTCATTTAAAGAGACTGTAAGCGTAATTTCTAGTGCCCCTCCATGCAAAGATGGCAACGCCTTAATGGAAGACATTGTCGTTTCTCCGCGTTATAAAGTGATTATTTCTGACAATTCCAATATGTTTTCCTATTGTGGAAAAGAGCAAATCCCTTTATACAAAAATCAAAACTGAAAATTATAAATTTTCAAAATTATTAACATTCATATCTAATTCAAACTTGATCAGACAAACCTTTTAATGGTAACATTTCGAATTGGGTATTGTCATCTTTGAATGGAAGGTCACTTGAAATTACAAGTACAGTCCCTTTAAAATGTCGTTGACAGTCCTTTTAAGAATGTTTACCTGTCAATCTTTTGACTTCGTCTTTGTAGTTCGATTTCCTCCTGAGATAAGGGTTGGAGAACACATTGAGCACAACCCTCGAGCAGTCCAGGAGTCATACTGGAGCAGGAGAAATATTCAGGCTCCAAGATTTAAGCTCCAAGATTCAAAATATTCAGGCTCCAAGATCCAAGATTTAAGCTCTAAGCTTCTGAACCGAATACCTCGATCAAGTGCAGGCTTTAAGATAAAACAAATCTAAAAACATCCATGTTTTATTCATGTACACAACAAAAAAACTGTCAGCAAATACTAATCTATAGTATCAAAATGTATATTGTATTATAGGTGTATGCTGTGCATGAACGAATAATTGGTCAAGAGTCTTATTCATGGAAAAACCATTAGAACATAAAATGCGGAAAGCTCTAAGTTTGGGTTATTTGAACCCCCCCCCCCATTTCAAACTTTATAGCAACCTCACGTGACTATCCATCTATCTAAACCTAACCTGACCAGAAGGTAGGAATTCTATTGTGTCGATTGAGTATCCTTGATCAAACGCTTAATAATTCAATCAAAGTTATCCCTGCGTGGTATGACCACTATAAGGGATATTGAAGTGGAATTGAATTAATCCATAAATAAAATGTATATCACTACACAAATATTCTCACTTCGAGAATAATATACATCACACGAGGTTGTCAAAAGAAACATAAAAAATAATAATTTAAAGAAAAAAATTCTAAGAAAATTAGAAGAATTGAATATTTTTTTTTGTCGAGAGTTGAAACTTTTTCATATTATTAAGTATACATTTCACAACAAAAAAACTCTTCACCTCCCCTCGACCCTTATTTACAAAATACAAATGCACGGCAATCATAAATCTAAAATAAAAAGCTAAGGTTATTGCTCACCTCTATATATATATAAAGAACACAACTAGAGAATTAAATGAAACACTATTCTGCTGCTGTTCACTGATAAGAACTGAAATCCCTCCAACTATTCATTTATTCATTAATCATAATTACTCGTCAGGTCATTTATCACTCAAACTTCTTATCAGCTAATTCTTCACGGAAAAAACATCATTCTTTCTGAAACATATTGATTATTGTATTCAAAGAGTAATCACATGTTTTAATGTCGTTTTTATCTTAAATTGTAAAAATCCCAGTCGTTAAAGAAATCTATAAGTTGCAATTATTTTCGATTTTTAGGAAAAAACGAAAATATTATTATTCCTGCAAACTATATATAGAAGAAGGTTGAATATATGCTACATTACTGGTACAACTTTGTGGCCAGGTAGCTCCTCTAGTTTTGATTTAACGCCAAGCATGAGAAAACAATGGTAATTTCCTAAAAAATGATTTTTGGACTCTTAGGACAGACCCAAACAATTTAATACGGTAAAAAATCAGAATTATTCCAAACATTATTCTCCTTCTCGATAACTCTTCAGAGAGAGGAATTATATTACGTCTCACTTAAAATTTACTTTTGTTTGACGTGTCATTATCGAACGAAGAAAATATTCACTTTTCTTTTCATTCCTGTTTGTGCTCTGCAAGTTTCCTCTATAGTTTTATCCTTTTATATGTTTACATATATTTACACATGATATGGCCATGCTGAGGGAAATATCAGAATTTTCAACTAAATTTAATCCATATACTTCACGCATATTTTCTGTACTATCTCATGATATTTTACTGTGAGTCATCTAATGGATGTAATACAGGGAATACAGGTTCCGGGATTAGAGTAATCTCAACGCTGTGTGGACACACTAGAGAGCATCAGCTGAAACACTGGCGGATTACCATACAGGGGTCAAACCATGGGAGGGGGG